GAAGCTGTAAATCTTAATGGGTGCTGAAGGTCTCATCTTTCACTTGTGAAGTGGCTGGCTGATGGGTTCGAACTACTTGCCTTGTGGTAAGCACACCAATGTGTAATCCACTATGCCACCAGGGTTCCTTTTGGATCTACTAAGTATTTCATAAACACTTTTTACTGACCAGAAAACGGAGATAAAAATATAAAATCTGTTTCACTCTATGGGCTGCGGTAATTCAGTAGAATTCTTGCCTTCTGTGTGTGAAACTTAGGTTTGACTCCTAGCCATTGCTCCTTATAGGCGGTCACCCCCTGTTAGTCAGTGGGAGGTCCTGCATAGATTCTAGTGAACTTTCTAGACTAAGACTAGGAAGAAATAATGAGCTACTTCAGAAAATCAACTAATGAATACCTTATGCCTCACAACAGTTCAATACCATTGTGCATGGGGCTGCTGTGAGGCGGGCCAACTCAACAGCAGCGAGCAATAGCATATTACTTAACTCGCAACCCCTTTGGGGGTCAAACGATCTTTGACAGGGGTCGCCTGATTCATAACAGTAGCAAAATGACAGTTGTGAAGTAGCAACAAAAACAATGTTTTGGTTGGTGGGTCGCCACAACACTAGGAAGTGTACAAAAAGGTCGCGGCATTCGGACGGTTGAGAACCACTGACTTAACTGGCTCTGGACAGAAATCATTGACAATATGAACTTTAAATGTAAAAGATATCTTTATTTTATACAAAATGCAAACCTATCCCTCTCTACCTTGAATCGGTGCTCATGGGAGTCCAAGTTTCATTTTTAGAAGAAAGGTTGTTTTCTTCCTTTACAAAAAGGTAATTTCCAGCATGTCTGTGATCGTCTGCTCCTTTTAACTCTCATGCTGGACACAGCCACTGATGACTGTTTGTGCGTTGTTAAGCCTGAGCAGGAGATGCGGGAGTGCTGCTCCTGCTGTCCTCAGCCCTCAGAGGAATTGTGAAAAAGTAAAAGAGAGACTTAAAATTGCAGAGGCCCTGAGGCTACTATGTGAGTATGTGTGTGTCTCTGTGTGTGCACCCTACATGAGAGACCCCCAATATGTCTGATGATGAAACCCCATGTTGGGTACAATGTAACATTCACAAGCCACACGTTCAGTTAGGGAAGGCTTCAGCCGACAGGGCTTCCTTCCAGACACCCTCCCGACTGCCATACTCTGGGTCCTGTTACAGTCTTATACTAATGGAAACCCAATTTCACCACTGCAGGCTGTAAAAGACACCATCTCGTCCCCATTTAATGTAGTTTAGCTTCTGTTGAATAGCAGCTGTCTGTAGGCAGATAGATTTGTTAGGTAACCAGACAGGGATAGAGGGGTGGTCCCTCCCATGCCTGCACAGACCCCCTACAAGAGGTTGGGAAGAAAAGTCTGGTGGCCATTAATCACCAATAAATACCTTAACTGGGCATGTTACAATTGAAGTCTCCGAGCCAGGTGGGCTTTACAGGGCCAAAGTAGGCCTAGGTGGGGTTGATTCAGCCAATGAGGTCAACCAATATACCTTTGACCACACCTACCCAGTCAGAGGTTTAAAATACCCTGCTGATGGGAACGTGGTCTCCTTTAGCCTGCTCCTGTGCCCACTAGGCCATGCTGCTTGCTCTCTTGCTACGTTTACCATGTGTGGAGGCACAGGCCCATGAGGTTGCCCATTTCCAATTGTGGGCCTCAGCACGGCTTCTGCATGGTTTGGCACACTTCCCTGAAATAGTATGTACTCTTTCGAAACTGTAAAACCTGGAACCTCTCCCATTCTTCATAAAAACTCACGTGGATTACAAACCAGGCTTCGGCATGAATTCTTTCTCGTGTGAAGCCAAGAACCACAGTATTACCCTCTCGAGAAATTTAACATTGTGGTGCCTGTGACTCGGAGACACCTTAAGGTAAGTCCAGCTCAGGATATTTTCCTGGAGCAGCCCTCCAATTCCAGCCTCATTGGCTCTTTTCGGGCACTTTCTGGAATCCTACCTAACCACCCTTGAGAGACTGGGAAATGGGTGGCTTGGTTGGACTTAAACTGCAAGGTGAGTGGTTTGGAAAAGATGCCAGTGTCCTAGAGGGAAGTGGAATCTTCTTGTCTTCCTCCTCTTCCTCCACTAACACTGGTCTGTTGGTGTCTGAGAGCCAACTTGACAACAGCCCCCTATGAAGCCAAGTGTAACATATGGCGGGAGTTCCTATCCCTTCACCTCCCCATGTCTGTCTTCCTATCCTCCTTGTTTTCTGCTTGTACATTGAGCTGCGTATCTGCCTTTCTGCTCCTCTGGTGCCTTGCATGCTTCCCGCAGCCTTGATTCCTGTGAAGTGTTCAAAACACTGCAGTCTGCAGTGGTCTGCTCCATGTTCCTGTCAGCAAAAAGGTCGCATGTACATGTATAAACCCTGTTCTTCTCTGCAGGATCCTGGCTCCCATTGCTTGCGCTTCGCCGACTTGTTCACACACACACTGCGGCTGCCATTTTTCTTGCAGGGCAGCTGTAGTAGTTACATAATCTGGTGTCAATTTTGGACTTGAGAGGATTAAGAGTGAAGGGGTGGAGTCTAGTTTGTAAATCAGGTCATAGCCAATGAGGCCTCTGTGTGGGCATGGCCTGAGAATTCTGGGAACTCCTGGATCTCCTCCTTGGATACAGGAGAGACTCTCTCTCGGCTCACTCCCTGTGAGACATCCCTGTGGAGATGGTCCGAGGCTGATGGAGCCAGACCTCTGGAGCTGGAGAAGCCACATGGAAAGTCCTGCCAGCACTGAGATGCTTACAATGCCATTGGACCTGTGAGACTTCCAACACCTTGGCCTGTGACCTTCCTGCATTCAGTGTCATTGAATGTATTTCATGAGTCAGAAAAGGACTTTATAGATTGGTATTGGACATACGGGCTAGTATCGGACTTATGGACTTGATCTGGATGGGCTGTTTACTCAATGTTGAATTGCTCTTATATATAAAACTCTCTCATACACATATGAGTTTCTATGGATTTGTTCTCTAGTCTACCCAGACTAACACAGAAGCCAACCATGTGACTGTGCATTCCCACAGCAAGACCGCACCACCCAGTGTCCGTTGCCATTTTGTTGTAGTACAGCTGAGCATGTGACCCTCAACAAGATGACTCCCAGTGTTCCAACCATGTGGGCAAGGGGGTACTTTGTGGGCTAGCCCCCTCCAGTTCCCACAGTAGGCCTGGGTTTTCCCACAGATGCCGCCCCCGGCCACCCCTGCTCCCGTTTTCTCCTGTTTGGTGTTTTGCTTTATCTTTCTGCTTGTGTGTTTTGATTTTCCCACTGGCTGGTTTTCCTTTGCCAGATCCTCAGCAAAAGGCATTTGAAAGTCGGTCCACTGAGTAACTGCTAAGGCTTTTGTAATGAAAGGCTTTTTGGCACCACTGCCCCTGGGCCATGCACGTTCCTGGTACAGCTCTGCTGTGACAGTATGTGTCCAGCCAAGGATCCATTTCCCTAGAATGCACCCTGAGGCAATTAACAGGTCTCTCCTCCCCTTCAAAGGCCGCTCATGCCAGTGGTCGCCTTTAAGGCTATTGGAAGGCCACTCCAAGCAGTGGTCTTGCCTTCAGAGGCCCGGTGAATTATTCATGCCAGGAATTCCCTATGTTGGCCCTGTAGGCCCTAATC